TTCTCGAAAACAAAGCTTCCGCAAGATCCCGAAAACCAGCTAATTATCTAGAAATCTCAAACACATCAGTCATCAAATTCCCCGCTATTCTTCCCCAACTCGAACTCGTATCGACTCGAATCGAATAATTCAGCTCGAGGAGAAAACCAATAAAAATCCCTAAAACGAGTGAATTATTCCGCCGAGCGAATCGTCTCCAGCGATTCGAGGTATGAACGATGGCGCTTAACCAGCTCGGTAAATCGTGTCGATCGTGAACGGACGGGCAACGCAGCGCCTTCATCTTCCGGAGCGTGCGTGCGTGTATCTTTTCTACTTTTCAGGTTGTTTCGGTCCGTTTCGCGGCGCGGCGCGGCGCGGCGCGACAACGATCTAGACACGCTCGCGCGGCTCGTCTGGTCTGGTCCCGTCGCGTCCCGACCCGTCCCGTGCCGTCCCATCTCGTCCCGTCACGATCTAACCCGCCCCGTCTCATCTTGACGCTGAATGGCAACAAGTGCGATCGCGGAAGGGAAGGGATGACGGCACGGATCGAAAATATATACGAAACGATGAATGAAAGCTCCACGCTAACGTCGGGACCGCGCCAACGATTTCTGTATCGGGCGTCGCTCGACACGGCCGGCATAGTCCCCGACGGTTTTCACGCGCGAAACGCGAAACTCGAGACCCGAGGGAGATCGGCGGCGGGCCGCGCGACGACGTGTCGGATGATGCCCGGCGAGAGATTCGAAGGGACGAGAGCGAATCGAGGACTTACCCGTGGTCGCAACGGCGCTCGCTCGCGGTTGCTCGCTGGACATTCTCTTTCCTCCAACATTCACCGTGTCCTGCATTTACCGTCAACGCCTCGACTTTGCGATACTCTTCTCCGTTCGTGTCATGCGTGGCTCCCTGAAACGCAAAGGGACAATCCTTTATTCCCCGCGAATCGAACGAACACGCGCGCTCGCTGGCGCGCGCGCGCGGAAAAACATTAAGAAGACGAACGAACGGACGGACACGACGGTACGCGACGCGTGGCGGTGCGGTTTGCCGCGTCGCGTTGCCACCGACTATCCACGGGAATTCGTTTATTCCCGCGAGCACGTTATTGGTCGCGCATCCGACGTCAGCCAGCGAGTGGGGAAGCAGTGGAATTTCTCGAATGGAACAGTTTACGCGGTTCATTGGGTACCGAACGCGGCAACGCGAAATGCACCGTCACGCGCGATCGCGAAACGTTTCTCGTTCGGCTCGGACAGCAGAGATTATACATCGTTTCGGATAATAAGCTCGCGTTTGGGAAACCGGGAAACCACGAACCGCGCTTCGAACCGTACAGATCGTCGAAACCCATCGAATCCTTGATCAGAATCTCTCTCTCTCTCCTCCTCCGAGCGGACTGGGAATCGCGTTTCTCTCGTTCGCTCGAATCCGATCCCGCGACCGAGACCGAGACCCTGACCGCGACCGCGACCGCGACCGTTCTCCGCAGGAGACAAAAT